ACTTATGAGTGAGGACATGAGTTGTTTGGTTTTCTGTTCCTGTGTTAGTTTGTTGAGGGTGATGGCTTCTGGCTTTACCCATGACCCTGCAAAGGACATGATCTCATTAATTTTTGTGGTTGCATAGTATTCCATGGTGTACCCCATTTTCTTTGTCCAGTCTATCATTAAGGGACATTTGGATTGGTTCCAGTGCTGCAATAAACATACGTATGCATGTGTCTTTATAGCAGAATGATTTTTATTCCTTTGGGTGTATACCCAGTAATGGGATTGCTGGGTCAAATGGTATTTCTGGTTCTAGATCCTTGAGGAATTGCCATGCCACATTGTCTTCCACAATTGTTAAACTAATTTATACTCCCACCAACAGTGTGGTAGTGGGATTTCTCCACAGCCTCACCAGCATCTATTGTTCCTTGACTTGTTAATAAACACCCTTCTGACTGGCATGAGATAGTATCTCATTGTAGTTTTGATTTGCATTTCTCTAACAATCAGGGATGTTGAGCTTTTTTCATATGTTTCTTGGCTGCATAAATGTCTTCTTTTGAGAACTGTCTGTTCATATCCTTTGCCCAGTATTTTCTGCTCATATCCTTTGCCCAGTTTTTTTTTTCCTTGTAAATTTCTTTAAGTTCCTTGTAGATTCTGCATGTTAGACCTTTGCCGTATGGATAGATTGCAAAATTTTTCTCCCATTCTGTACATTGCCTGTTTATTCTGATGATAGTTTATTTTGCTGTGCAGAAACTCTTTAGTTTAATTAGATCCCATTTTGTCAGTTTTGGCTTTTGTTGCAATTGCTTTTGGCATTTGTGTTGTGAAGTCTTTGCCCATGCCTATGTCCTCAATGGTATTGCCTAGGTTTTCTTCTAGGGTTTTTATGGTTTTAGGTCTTGCATTTAAGTCTTTAATCCATCTTGAGTTAATTTTTGTAAAAGCTGTAAGGAGGGGGTCCAGTTTCAGTTTTCTGCATATGGCTAGCCAGTTTTCCGAACACCATTTATTAAATAAGGAATCCCCTCCCCATTGCTTGTTTTTGTCAGGTTTGTCAAAGATCAGATGGTTTTAGATGTGTAGCATTATTTCTGAGGCCTCTGTTCTGTTCCATTGGTCAATATATCTGTTTTGGTACCAGTACCATGCTGTTTTGGTTACTGTAGCCTTATAGTATAACTTGAAGTCAGGTAGCATGATGCCTCCAGTTTTGTTCTTTTTGCTTAGGATTGTCTTGGCTGTATGGGCTCTTTTTTGGTTCCATATGAAATTCAAAGTAGTTTTTTCTAATTAAATGAAGAAAGTCAATGGTAGCTTGATGGAGATAGCATTGAATCTATAAATTGCTTTAGGCAGTATGGCCATTTTCATGATATTAATTCTTCCTATCCATGAGTATGGAATGTTTTTTCCATTTGTTTGTGTCCCCTCTTATTTCCTTGAGCAGTGGTTTGTAGTTTTCCTTGAAGAGGTCCTTCACATCCCTTGTAAATTGTATTCCTAGGTACTTTATCCTCTTTGTAGCAATTGTGAATGGCAGTTCACTCATGAGTTGGCTCTCTGTTTGTCTATGGTGTATAAGAATGTTTGTGATTTTTGCACATTAATTTTGTATCCTGAGACTTTGCTGAAGTTGCTTATCAGCTTAAGGAGATTTGTGGCTGAGATGATGGAGCTTTCTAAATATATAATCATGTCATCTGCAAACAGAAACAATTTGACTTCCTCTCTTCCCGTTCAAATACGCTTTATTTCTTTCTCTTGCCTGATTGCCCTGGCTAGAACTTCCAACACTATGTCGAATAGGAGTGGTGAGAGTGGGCATCCTGCCTTGTGCCATTTTTCAAAGGGAATACTTCCAGCTTTTGCCCATTCAGTATGATATTGTCTGTGGGTTTGTCATAGATATACCTCTTATTATTTTGAGATACGTTCCATCAATACCTAGTTTATTTAGAGTTTTTAACATTAATGGATGTTGAATTTTATCGAAGGCCTTTTCTGCATCTATTGAGATAATCATGTAGTTTTTGTCTTTGGTTCTGTTGATATGATAGATTATGCTTATTGATTTGCGTGTGTTGAAGTAGCCTTGCATCCCAGGGATGAAGCTGAGTTGATAGTGGTGGATAAGTTTTCTGATGTGCTGCCGGATTCAGTTTGCCAGTATTTTATTGAGAATTTTTGCATCGATGTTCATCAGGGATATTTGCCTGAAGTTTTTTTGTTGTTGTTGTATCACTGCCAGGTTTTTGTGTCAAGATGATGCTAGCTTCATAAAATGAGTTAGGGAGGGATCCTTCCTTTTTAATTGTTTGTAATAGTTTCAGAAGGAATGGAGCCAGCTCCTCTTTTTACCTCTGGTAGAATTCAGCTGTGAATTCCAGTCTTGGGCTTTTTTTGGTTGGTAGACTATTGATTACTGCCTCAAGTTCAGAACTTGTTATTGGTCTATTCAGGAATTTCACTTCTTCCAGATTTAGTCTTGGGAGGGTGTATGTGTCCAGGAATTTATCCATTTCATCTAGATTTTCCAGTTTATTTACATAGAAGTGTTTATAGTATTCTCTGATGGTAGTTTGCACTTCTCTAGGGTCAGTGGTGCTATCCTCTTTACCATTTTTTAATTGTGTCTCTTTCATTCTTCTCTCTTTTCTTCATTATTAATCTAGCTAGTGGTCTATCTATTTTGTTAATTTTTTCCAAAAACAGCTTTGGGTTTCACTTATTGTTTGCAGGGTTTTTCTGTCTCTATCTCCTTCAATTCTGCTCTGATCTTAGTTATTTCTTGTGTTCTGCTAGCTTTTGGATTTGTTTACTCTTGCTTCTCTAGCTCTTTTAATTGTGACGTTAGGGTGTCGATTTGAGATCTTTCTAGCTTTCTGATGTGGACATTTAGTGCTATAGATTTCCATCTTAAGACTGCTTTAGCTGTTTCCCAGAGATTCTGGTACATTCTCTCTTTGTTTTTATTGGTTTCAGAGAACTTATTGATTTCTGCCTTGATTTTGTTATTTACCCAGGAGTCATTCAGGAGCAGGTTGTTCAATTTCCAAGTAATTGTGTGGTTTTGAGTGAGTTTCTTAATCCTGTTCTAATTTGATTGCACTGTGGTCTGAAAGACTGCTATGATTTCAGTTCTTTTGCATTTGATGAGGAATGTTTTACTTTCAATTTTGTGGTTGATTTTAGAATAAGTGCCATGTGGCACTGAGAAGAATGTATACTCTGTTGATTTGGGTGGAGAGTTCTGTAGATGTCTATTAGGTCCACTTGATCGAGAGCTGAGTTCAAGTCCTGAATATCCTTGTTAATTTTCTGTCTCATTGATCTGTCTCATATTGACAGTGGGGTGCTAACATCTTCCACTATTATTTTGTGGGAATCTAAGTCTCTTTGTAAGTCCCTAAGAACTTGTTTTCTGAATCTGGGTGCTCCTGTATTGGGTGCATATATATTTAGGATAGTTAGTTCTTCTTGTTGATTTGATCCCTTTATCATTATGTAGTGCCCTTCATCTCTTTTGATCTTTGTTGGTTTAAAGTCTGTTTTGTAAGAGACTAGCATTGCAACCCCTGATTTCTTTTGCTTTCCCTTTGCTTGGTAAATTTTTCTCCATCCATTTATTTTGAGTCTATGTGTGTCTTTGCACGTGAAATGGGTCTCCTGAGTACATTACACCAAAGGTTCTTGACTCTTTATCTAATTTGCCAGTCTATATCTTTTAATTGGGGTATTTAGCCCATTTTCATTTAAGGTTAGTATTGTTATGTGTAAATTTGATCCTGTCATCGTGATGCTAGGCAGTTATTTTGCACACTAGTTGATGCAGTTTCATCATAGTGTCATTGGTCTTTATATTTTGGTGTGTTTCTGCAGGGACTGATACTGGCTTTTCCTTTCCATATTTAGTGCTTCCTTTAGGAGCTCTTGCAAGGCAGGCTTGGTGGCGATGAAATCCCTCAGCATTTGCTTCTCTGGAAAGGATTGTATGTCTTCTTCGCTTATGAAGCTTAGTTTGGCTAGATATGAAATTCTGTGTTGAAAATTCTTTTCTTTAAGAATGTTGAATATTGGCCCCTACTCTCTTCTGGCTTGTAGGGTTTCTACAGAGAGGTCTGCTGTTATTCTAATGGTCTTCCCTTTGTCGGTGATCTGGCCTTTCTCCCCAGCTGCCCTTAACATTTTTTCCTTCATTTTGACCTTGGAGAATCTGATGATTATGTATCTCGGGGTTGATCTTCTCATGAAGTATCTTAGTGGTGTTCTCTGTATTTCCTGAATTTGAATGTTGGCCTGTCTTGCTAGGTTGGGGAAGTTCTTCTGGATAATATCCTGAAGTGTGTTTTCCAGCTTGTTTCCATTCTCCCCATCTCCTTCAGGTACTCCAATCAGTTGTAGATTCAGTATTTTTACATAGTTGTGCATTTCTTGAAGGCTTCATTTGTTCCTTTTCTTTTTTTTTCTCCATTCTTGTCTGCATGCCTTATTTCAGCAAGACGGTCTTCAAACTCTGATATCCTCTTTTCTGCTAGGTCAGTTCGGCTATTGGTACTTGTGTATGCTTCACAAAGTTAACATGCTATGTTTTTCAGCTCCATCAGGTCATTTATGTTCCTCTCTAAACTGGTTATTCTAGTTAGAAGCTCCTCTAACCTTTTTCAAGGTTCTTAGCTTCTTTGCATTGGATTAGAGCATGCTCCTTTAGCTCAGCAGAGTTTGCTATTACTCATCTTCTGAAGCCTACTTCTGTCAATTCATCCATCTCATCCTCTGTCCAGTTCTGTACCTTCCCTTGAGAGACATTGCAATCATTTGGAGGAGAAGAGGAGCTCTGGCCTTTTGGGTTTTCAGCATTTTTTCGTTGATGCCTTCTCATCTTCATGAGTTTGTCTAGTTTTGATCTTTGAAACTGCTGACCCTTGGATGGGGTTTTGTGGGGACTTTTGTTGTTGTTGATGCTTTTGTTGCTTTCTGTTTGTTTTTCTTTCGATGGTCAGGTCCCTTTTCTGAAAGGCTGGTGCTGTTTGCTGGGGGTTTACTTCAGGCCCTATTCATTTGGTTCGCTCCTGTGCCTGGAGATGTCACTCAAGGAGGCTACAGAACAACAAAGGTGGATGCCTGCTCTTTCCTCTGGGATCTCTGACCTCCAGGGGCACCAACCTGATGCCGGTAGGTATAGGGTGTCTGACAACCCCTACTGGGTGGCATGGGAAACAGGACTCATTTAACAAAGCACTTTGACTGTCCCTTGGTGGAGAGGGTGTGCTTTGCTAGGGGAAACCCACTCATCTGGGCTGCCCAGATTCTTCAGAACTAGCAGGAGGAAAGACTAAGTCTTCTGGTCTGCAGAGACTGCAACCACCCATCCCACTAGGGCTTCAGGCCCAGGGAGATCAGAGTTCTGTCCCTGAGCCCCTAGCTGGAGTTGTTGGAGTTCCTGCAGGGAGGCCCTGCCCAGTGAGAAGGGATGGGTCAGGGTCAAACCTGGAGAGGCACTCTGGCTGTAGTCTGCCACAGCTGGTGTGCTGGGTTATAGGGGACACCTCTTAGGACCAAGCCGTGTCCAGCCTCCCTGGCTCCAGCAGAGGAAAAGTACAGCCTGGAGCTGTAGAGATGGATGACACCCTTCCTTTGCCTAGGGAGCTTAGTGTGTGTCAGGCAGCTCTCCGTCCCAGTGCTGGCTGCCGCCCTTCCCCCAAGGAGCTCAAATGGCTTAGACAGCAGGCAGCTGCAGCTGTGGTGCTGGTTGTCCCTTCCCGCAGAAACTCAGCAGGCTTAAGCAGATTCTAGCTGAAAGGGTGTTGAGAATCTGCGCGGCTCCAGGGTTGGGATCCCAGGCCCCAGTGGCATGGATTCATGAGTGGCATCTTCTGATACATGGGTTGCATAGTTCCGTGGAAAAAGCACGGTTTCCCTGGCTGGGTAGCATGCTCACTCACCACCTCCCTTGGCTGGGGCGTGGGGATTCCCCTGCCCTGTGTGGCTCTCAGGTGGGCAGCTGCACCACACTGCTCTTCCTTCCTCTCCGCAGGTAATGCCAGTCGTCTAGTCTGCTCTGATGAGAGAAGCTGGTTACCTCAGTTGCTGGTGCAAGATTCCCATGCTATTACGGTTTTTTTCAATGGGAGCCTCTGATCGCCACTGCTTCTAGTCGGCCATTTTGGCCCCGCCGCCAACTAAGAGCTTTTTAACATTAAACTCTCTATCATATATTTTCAAATAGGCAATTAAAAGAAGAAAAATAATTTTTCAAAAGAAAACAGTTGTCACAGACCTTTAGTTAAGATGCGCATTTGAATGACCAGGGAAATTCTAAAAGATATTTATTGTGGCTTTAACATTTGATACAAGGACAGAATTATTTTTAAAAACCCCTTATATTCTATAATTGTGGCACCTTTGTAGACTAGAAAAATAACTATAAAATCTCCAGGCGTAGAAAAAAGAATAAGTTCTAGTGTTTTCAAATATCCCATGCAAGACATGATACAATGTTCAAAGAAGAAAAATGATCTCCCAGCATTAGGGAAGCAGAAAGGTGGTGGGTGGAACCAGCCACAGTCATGACTCAGTTGGCCTTGACTGCCTCTTAGAATTTCAGGATATTTGTGCTCTGTGCCTAATGACCACAGTGTCTTAGGCTGCATACCTTTTACCTGTTTTTTCACTGTGTGTCAACTAATTATTGAGTAAGAAACAAGATAAATCTCTGTAAATTATATCTATTAGAGCCTGACTCTAGGAAAGAAGCACCCCCTTCACAATCCCCTTCACAATCACAGTTCCTGAGCATAGCACTTATATCTGCATGAGGGCTTTCTGTAGCCCTGAGAGTCCAAGTGTGGTGCTCCCTGGGAATGCTGGAGAGCTAATGCTCCCTAGGAACAGCTTCTAACCAGTAAATGGCAGGAGTCAGTAGGTTAATACCAGATCCTTTGTCACTTGGTTGGACAGCTCTCAGGCATGTTCTATATTGTCTCCCAGAGGTCACCAGCAGAACTGATTCCTGATTGCCCACAGCAATAATCTACTGAATACAAACTCTTCCCTGGCCTCCTTCTCTTTCCTGTCTCATTCCTCCCCTCTCTTACCAGTGCTGCTTGGGATCACCTGCTAAATAAGCTACTTGAATTCCCTTTTATGTAGGCAAGTATTGTTTTTGGAGATCAACCCAAGATAAGACTTGTAGGCTCCAGAACCCCTGATAACATAGGCACCTACATGGACCAAATACACAGCCCTTTCATATGATGCAGGTACCACTAGGTTAAATTTGGATTAAAATGATGTATTAGTCCATTCTCACACACTATAACAATACTACCCAAGACTGGGTAATTTATAAAGGAAAGAGATTTAGTTGACTCAATTTACATGGCTGGGGAGGCCTCAGGAAACCCATAATCATGGTGGAAGGGGGAACAAGGACCTTCCTCACATGGCAGTAGGAGAGAGAGAAAAACGAAGGAGGAATTTCCTAACACTTATTAAACCATCAGATCTCATGAGAACTCACTCACTATCATGAGAACAGCATGGGAGAAACTGTCCCCCACCCCCAATCCAATCACCTCCCTTCCTTGACACATGGGGAGTACAGGTCTCTTCCTAGACACGTGGGAATTACAATTCAAGATGAAATTTGGGTGGGGACACAGAGCCAAACCATACCAAGTGAAAATCCACATTTAGCCTCTATTAACAGGAGTGAACCTATTATCCCAGCACTTTGGGAGGCCAGGGCTGAAGGATCACGTAAGTCTAGGAGTTTGAGACAATCCTGACCAACATAGTGAGACTGTCTCTACAAAAAATAATGAAGAAGAAGAAGAAAAAGAAGAAGAAGAAGAGGAAGAAGAAGAAGAAGGAGAAGGAGAAGGAGAAGAAGAAAGAAGAAGGAAGAAGAAGGAAGAAGAAGAAGAATAATTAGCTGGGTGTGGTGATGTGGACCTGTAGTCCCACCTGCTTTGGAGGATCACTTGAGCCTAGGAGTTCAAGGCTGTAATGAGCTACATTTGTGCCACTGTACTCCAGGCTGGGTGAGAGAGCAAGACCCTCTCTCTATTAAAAAGAAAATAACAAAAGACTAGTTTGGTTCTGTTCCTACCTAATCACTGTTTTCTTGTTGAGCTTTCTTACCTTCATCTGAATTAACATGTGCTTTACTGATGTCTTTCAATTAAATTGTTTTTTTCTATAACTTTGAATTTAGGGTGACTATTTACTGTTCATGGAGAATTTTTATAGATATAAATTGCACAGGAATTTATGGTGAGTAAAGTAAAATATAGCCTGAACCTCCATGCCCTGGGCCTTTTATATGTGCATATTCACATAGCAAGTAGCAAGAGTAAGCACAGAGCAATCAAACACCATAGCAAGCACAAAACCAATGGCTGACTTAGAAAGAACCCTTGGATTTTTATGCTCTGGGTTTCACTCAATTCACAGTGATGTTTTTTAGCCCTTAGTGATATAACCAAATTAACACATGCCTACAGTGTCCATTAGAAACCACTGGTGGGACCAAGTCAAGAGAGAAGGAAGGAAGGAAGAAAGGAAGAAAGGAAGGCAGGAAGGCAGGGAGGGAGGGAAGGAGGGAGGGAAGGAGGAAGGGAGGGAGGTAAGGAGGGAGGGAGGGATGGAAGGAGGGAGGGAGGGAAGGAAAGGGAAGGAGGGAGGGAGGGAGGGAGGGAGGGAGGGAAGGGAAGGGAAAGAGGAAAAATCCAAAGAATGCAAAGAAAAGCAAGTCTTGGGAAGCAAATAAGTTGCATGTATTCACTTACAGAATCCTTGCTACATCTGTATAAAATTATTATTATTATCATCATATTTTATAGATGAGGAAATCAAAGCACAAAAAAGTTTTTTAAAATGGTCCAAGCTCTAAGACCTAATAAGAAGCAAAGCTCGGATTTGGACCAAAACAGCCTGACTACAAAGCTACACTGTGCACACCCTGAAGGTGGAAAAGAGCAGTTTCCAAGTCTATCTTAAGCTAAGCCCAGAAATCTTAGTTACTTAGTCACCCCTTTATGTGGGTCAAGGTTAGGTAAAATTTTCTTTCTACTTTCATGAAGAAAGTTTGGAAAGGAAATTAAGGGTGCCAGTGTCAGAAAACTAGGGGTAAACTGTTATTTTGGTTACCATGGAGAGTTAAGAAATTCTAAATTACATGAAGTCACCAAGTCCTGAAAATATTCAAGCAGTCCTAGGAAGGATACTCAGTGCGATGAAGAGCTAAGGACTCCTAACAGCCATGGAGAGGCCATGATGGAAGCAGATTCTCCAGCCCCTGTTAAACCTTCCAATGATTACATCCCCAGGTGACAGTTTGACTGCAACCTCCTGAGACCATGAGCCAGAACTGTGCATTTAAGCCACTCCCAAATTTCTGATTCACAGAGACTGTGAGGCAATAAATATTTATTGTTTTAAGCCACTAACAGTGTGGTAATCTCCTGTGCAGCATTAGTTAACTAATATAGATTTTGGTGCTGAGAGTGGAGTTTGAACCTGTGTTAATTTACTATTGTTGGCATAGCAAAGTACCGCAGAGTAGGTGGTTTAAAGAAAGATTTATTTTCTCACAATTGTGGAGACTAGGAACCTGAGATCAAGGTGTCAGCAGATCGGTTTCCTCTGAAGCCTCCCTCCTTGGCTTGCAGATGGCCACCCACCCCCTGTGCCTTCCCAAGATCTGCCTTCTGTGTGTCTGTATCATAATCTCCTCTTGTTGTAAGGTCACCAGTCATATTGGATTAGTGTTGTCAAATGCCAGGGGTTTGGCCTAGGTCCGGTTGCTCACCACAACGAAAGTCGATCACTGAGAAAATAAGCGTTGCCAAGGAAGAAAGGCTTTATTGCAGGTGACATCCGCCAGGAGGTGGGGGACAAGTCTCAAATCTGTTTTTCCAACCAATTAAAGTTAAGGGTTTATAGAGGAGTCGGTCAACAGACAGCAGGTGCTCAGACAAGTGACCTGGCGTCTTATTGTCTGGACACAGTGATCTAGGAAGTTTCAGCTTTTTGATATTATCTGGGATGAAAATTGGATTGGTTTCTCTAGGGCCCACCCTAATTACTTCATCTTAACTTAGTAATCTTTTTAAAGACTGATTCTCCAAGTACAATCATATTCTGAAGTACACAGAGTCAGGATTTCAGCATGTGAATTTTGGAGGAACAAAGTCTAACCCCTAACAGAACCCATTCCATCTCTGCCACTTACTAAATGTCAGGTTTTAAGAAGTTTTGTGATTTTCTCTATAAAATGTAAATGATAGTACCCAACTCGGAGGACTGTTTTGGACATTTATATTTAAGTCACTCAGTACTGCGTCTAGCACATAATAGGTGAGCTATAAGTATTTCCTGACACTGACACTCAATGAAACAGCACTCTGTCAACCCATTTTAAAGCATCTGATTGTCAAGCCCACTGCAAACCTTGTTGAACCAAGCTCTTCCTTTTAAACCAGACTAGTGAAATTTTACTGTGCATTTTTCCATGTGTTTAATTGCACAGAGGAAGCATTAATGGAAATAAACCTTAGAGGGAGAAAATAATTAGAAAATTTTTGCCAAGAAAAAAATGTTGTTGCTTTAATTTAAACTTTAATTTAGCTCTCTGGAAAGGGCTTTTGCTTTCTCTTATTTGAATTTTATTTTAATAATTCACAGGCAGTGCTGTTGACATGCTCTCATGACCAACGTCAAATTTAATTTATTTTCACCAGCCCAAAGCGCAGATGCCTGCTATTATCATGGCTGCTGCTGTGCTCAACTGGTTCTTGCAATAGATGAACATAGAAATAAATTGTCTGCGGAGGGTTTTCTGTGCCATGTTTTATACCCTACTGTGACTCAAGAGATGATAACTTTTATAAAAATTTTGTACAATTTATATAGTTAATTAAAACAGAACTGAGCTGGGCACAGGGGCTTGCACCTGTAATCCCAGCACTATGGGAGGCGGAGGCAGGAGAATCACTTTAGCCCTGGAGTTCAAGACCAGCCTGGGCAACATAGTGAGATCCATCTCTACAAAAAATTTAAAAATATTAACTGGGTGTGGTGGCATACACCTGTAGTCCCAGCTATTTGGGAGCTGAAGTGGGAATATTGCTTGAGCCCAGGAGTTTGAGGCTGCAGTGACCCATGATTGTGCCACAGCACTCCAGCCTGGGGGCCAGAGTGAGACTTGATCTCAAAAGAAAAATTTTTTAAAAAACTAGATGCTTATCTCTCTCACTTCTAGGTTCCTGACTTCTTAGGTGTGACCACAATTGAAGTGACCTGACCTGAGTGTCCATCTCTTCCACAAGGAATCCATATGAAAGAAGTAACTGCTCTCAGGAACAACTTTTATAAGGAAGACTGACACACACACACACATAAAAAGCTTGCTAATTATTTTTTAAAGGATTACAACACAAGTCTGGTGGTATTTTTTTCTTACACATTCTGTACCATATAAAATGAAGGGAGAGAAAGTGCCCAGTATGGAGTTCTGTGGTTTCTCCTGCATCCCACTAGGCTACCTGGGAGCATCACAGAGAGTATAATTTTGAGTTAGCAGAAATGGGAAGAACTAGGCAAATTTAGTGTTGTGGAGAGGAAATAATGTAAAGAGCTCCCATCTTCCTTCACTTGAGAGCATGGGGCTGGGTTGTGGGACAATGTGAGGGAAGACGGAAGAGTAGTAAAAGCTTGGAGCAGCTGCTTTGCAAAATGGAATGATAGGGAGCATTGAGGACAAGAGAAATGATTGCTGAGCAGTGTGGTGGCCCTCGTGAGGTTGGAGGCTTATTTTTAGAAGGCTGCCAAGCAGTTGAGGAAGGGAGATTTTCCTCGACAACTTGGTGTAGAATTGGGCCCACATTAAAGGAGACAGGGCAGAAGCAGAGAGCACAATGAGGGAGCAAGAATGGCCAGAGTTGCAGATCCTGGTTGCAGAGCCTTGACCATCCCTCCTGTGTGGCACTTGGTGAAGTCAGGGATGGTTTTAGTAGAGAATATGTGCTAACTTTTCTCATCCCCCAGGTGTGAGAGCCGTTATGCCATGAACAACAGCATCACACATTGGCTGAGCCAAGCCTTCCTGACTGGGCATCAGTGGTTTTCTAAGCTAGTGTCACTGCTACTTTGCCTCATGCATACAAATCCAAGTTCAAAACCTATCTTTCTTGTTCAGTGACTCCATTTTTAGCTACTTGATCCACATACTTGAGAGCTTGAGGAATGGAGAATCTTGAGGTCAAAGAAGGCCAAAGCGATCATGTGGAGCAGGCATCCTCCACCTCCTCTTTTCTCCACCAATCACAATAACATGCTAGGATAAAGAAAGAAAGAAACTAGAAAGTGATCTAATACAACCTTGAGTGAGGTACTCTTTAAGCCTCAGTTTTCTTTCCTACAGAATACAAACTTTAGTTAATAGCAATCGCCTATTCCTAGAGAGGGTGATTATTCAATGGCATATCAAGCACTTGGCACTATTGCAGCACACTTAGTTGGTGCTCAATAAATGGTTGCTATGTACTAGGTAACGACCAGACAATGTGCGCTATATACCATTTTGTGCAATTTATGTTGTCTTTGCCTGTGTTCTGCAAAAGCAGATTCTGAGACAACAGCTTATCAATATAGCTGAAAACTCCTGTATTAGGGAGTACAATTCCAGGGAAGCAGAAGTGAGGGAAAAGAGTAGGGCAGAGAAGACAACAGAGCAAGTATGAGTTAGGGCACTGTAGAGATAGCCACTGCTTCATAATAAAACAAAC